GGGACGTGGAGCAGACCGGAGCCAGAGGAACGGAGGGTACGGGCAGGTAAGTAGGGGGATAGTAGGTCGGAGAGGTAGGAGGGAGCGAGGCCGTGAATGGCCTTGTAGGCGAGGATGAGGATCTTGAACTCGATCCTCTGGGGGATGGGGAGCCAGTGGAGGCGAGCGAGGGTGGGAGTGATGTGGTCGCGAAGCCTGGTGCGGGACAGTACACGAGCTGCAGAGTTCTGAATGACCTGCAGCTTGTGGAGGGAGGTGGCGGGAAGGCCGGCGAGGAGAGAGTTCCCATAGTCCAGCCTTGAGGTGATAAAGGCGTGGACCAGAGTTTCAGCAGCGTGAGGGGTGAGGTAGTGCCGTAGTCTGGCGATGTTTCGGAGGTGATGGAAGGCGGTGCCAGTTGTGGTGCGGATATGAGGAAGAAAGGACAGCTCAGGGTCGAACAGAACCCCGAGGTTCCTGATTGGCTTTGAGAGGTGGAGAGTGCAGCCTTGGATGCTGATGCTGTCAGCGCCTGAGGTGCGGAGGCGCTGACGTGAGCCAATCAGGAGGGCCTCAGTTTTACGCACGTTGAGCTGAAGAAAGTTGTCTCTCGTCCAGGACTCGATGTCGGACAGGCAGCTGTCAGGTCATCGGTGGTCGTGGAGTTGAGGGTAGAAGAGGAAAGGTAGAGTTGGGTGTCATCCGCATACATGTGGAAGTTAACCCCATGTCTGCGGATGATGTCACCAGGGGGAGCATATAGAGGGTGAAGAGGATGGGACCGAGGACAGAGCCCTGAGGGACACCACACGAGACAGTGCGGGGGGTGGAGGAAAAACCGTTTGCAGAGACAAAATGAAGACGGAGGGAGAGGTACGATCTAAACCACTCAAGGACAGGGCCTTGAAGGTTGAGGTGGGAGGACAAGGGGTGGAGGAGGATAGCGTGGTCGACCGTATCGAATGCTGCTGATAGGTCGAGCAGGACGAGGAGGCAGAGGGAGCAGATGGTCAGGATGTCATTGGTGACCTTGACCAGGGCAGTTTCTGTGCTATGGGCAGTACGGAAACCCGACTGAAGGGGTTCGAATAATGAATGGGTGGAGAGGAAAGAGCGCAGCTGGGAGGCGACAACTCTTTCAAGGACCTTGGACAGGAAGGGGAGGTTGGAGATGGGCCGGTACTGTACTGTAAAGTGAATTGACTGTGTGTTTTGTTGGAGAATTGTGGCAGCCAAATGCGCACACCAGTGTCCTACAAACAGTCGTGGATTGAGTGATCAAATTATGATTATAATTTTTTTAAGGAATTATTATCCCTGGAAAAGTGATCCGCCAATTGACTTAACAATCGGGTTCCTACTTACTGCTAGGTAAACAGAGGTGTGTGGAGTAAGGAAACTTGTCCAACATTTCATCCTGCCGGGAATTGTTTGCAAGGCGAGTGATCTAACCACTGAGCTACAGGACTCTAGGGTATTCTGGAAAGATGAGATCAGGTGGGCCAAACAGCCTTCTTTATCTAAACCGATCTTGAAATGATCCTGTTTTCTGTGCAGGATTGTACTGTAAAGTATTCAGAGGGATTTAGGTGTTCTTGTACCTTTAGAACTGAGTTGAGAAAACATTTCTTCACTCAGGTAGTGAATTTATGGAATTCTCTATCCAAGAAGGCTGTGGATGCTCAATCATTGAACATATTCAAGACTAAGATCGACAGATTTTTAAAAACTAAAGGGATTAAGGAATATGGGGATAGGGCGGGTAAATGGAATTAGGTTAGTAGATGAGCCATGATCTTAAATGGCGGGGAAGGCTCGAGGGATTGAATGGCCTACTCCTGCTCCTATTTCTTATGTTTTTATGCTCTTAAAATCTGAGCAAGACTTTCCTCTTACCGTGAACTGTAGTGACTGACTATGATTTTCCTAAAGTAAACTTTGACTACAAAATGTATTCATTACCCTTCAAATTAACTCCCGTGAAGTCCTTGGAGACCTCCTACCAGCATGTAAAACGTTATATCAAATGAGTTTATTATAAACTACACCAAGTGGCAGAACAAATTCCAACTCTCCAGAATCCCTCCCAGAGAGGTGATGTAAACAGAGATAATGAGAAGTGGAAATGCCACATTGGTACTGCTGATTGAGCGCTACAACTATGTAAATATATCTCCCAAACCAGACTAAACTGAGGAGCACTTTGTGTCAGCTCTGTGTATATGATGAAAATATTTAATTCTCCAGCAGTCTCATCTATTAGTATAACAGATATACATGTATGCATGTATCACACAAAAAGAAAAAAAAACTATTGAGTATTGGGCTATAATGACATATGCCAATGGATCACTGGTGTCTCTGTACCTTTTAGAATGAGCTTGTTTTGTATAAGATTTCAATCATCAATTAGCAGTTAGTTGTCTCCTGATCATAATATCCCCAGAACACGGAAACAGAGCAGCCACTTACAAATCCCAGGATACTTAATATCATTGTCAATTCCGACAGAACCAGAAGATCAATGACAAAAAGTGTGCTATGCACAGCTCTTATTTTCTACAATATCTTCAACCTAAAATAGCTTGATGTGGGCAAGTTTCCTTACTCCACACACCTCTGTTTACCTAGCAGTAAGTAGGAACCCAGTTGTTTAAACAGTTACGTATCCACCCTGAAAAAGTCAGATCTCAGCTATTAATGATCATTTTAATGGCCTTTGATAATAAAGGATTTAATGAGTTGTACAATTATATAGCACCTTCCACATCGGGAGGACATCTCAAAGCACTTTCAGAATTAGGGGGGGTGATTCAATTCTGAAGTCTGTGTTTCTCTCAAGGTGAATTACAAAGGTTTTGTCCATACAACAATTCAGTCTGTTCAGATTTGGCTGAATCGCATTACCCTCACCTCAGTGGGGAATGTCTTGGAGTGTCCCACTCTCTGGAACTCCATCCCAGAGTTCTTTTGCCTCGCCCCTTTCCTCACCTCCTTCAAGGTCCGTCTCAAGAGCTTCCTCTTTCACCATGCCTTCAGTCACCTTCCCATACCCACACTCTCAGCCTCTACCCCTCTTGAATCCCCACTCAGGTGCAAACTCCCAAGTGTCTAGTGCTTTGTAATGTTCTCTCGACATTAAAGGCGCTATAAAAATGCAATTTGTTTGTTTAGTTGCTCTGAAGAGAGAAAACTGATACCTGCTTAAATCTTTCTTGCTCCGTGCCAAAGGGGTACATGAGACAGAATAAATTACGGATAAACATTTGTAACTCCCAGTTATTGAATTGGTATAAAGTTGCTTTTAATTACAGTTTCCCTTCAGCAGGATCTGGAGGTACCTTGCAATGTAAATACAGCTGGTTCTCCAACATCATATTTGACAGATCCTTATTCAGAGTTGGATCTCCTATTGCTTTGCATAGTGATTGAAATGGAAAAGTTGGCGCAAGAACAATTCTAACAACGATATTTCACGCAAACTTAAACATCTGGCTTCATTGCATAATTAGCATCATGACGTCAGAGGTCCTCAAACATACACACATTTCTTAACAATATAACACTAATAATTAATAATCCTTGCATTTGATATAGCACCTTATCATGCGGTTGAGAGGTTTCAAACTGTTTCACAGGATATACTGTTTGTGCCATTTTTACCTATGAGAGCTTGATTTGATATAGTAATTATTTTGACCCTTGTATTGCAGGCCTTTATGATTTGATGACGCCTGACACACAATGACGGTATTGTGCCAAGTATAACAATGAAAGGACAGATGATTATAGTGTAGTGAGTAACAAAGAACAAAGATTAAATTACAGTCTCCCCCTCACCTTGTGGTTTGTGATGTCAGAGCCTTTCTGGAGTCTTTAAGCATTGATCGATAAATAAGGCACAGCTCATTAAGATTGCTGTGAGGCGCATACTACAAGCAATCCAAGTGATTGATATTCTCTTTACATCCTGTTGCTCTCAACTTAATACAATATAAATAACCCAAAGCGAAGTAATCAGCAAGTTTATGTGAGTAATAATAATCATAATAAATAATAATCCTTGCATTTGATATAGCGCCTTATCATGTCTTCGAGATGTCTCAAAACACTTCAAGGAATCAATTGTATATTTTGTGGGCGAAACGTGGCAGCCAATTGTACACAGCAGTATCCCACAAACAGTTATGGACTGAAGTGACCAAATTATTATTTTTTGGGGGAGGAAGGAATTATTACCCCCAGAAAAACAATCCACCAATCCACTAACAATTGGGTTCCTACTTACTGCTAGTAAACAGAGGCATGTGGAGTAAGGAAACTTGCCCAACATTTCGCCTTCCGGGAATCAAACCCAGGTCTCTCATTTGCGAGGCGAGCATTCTAACCACTGACCTACAAGACTCCAGATATTTTATCTAGGCCACATTATTGTTATGACAATAATCCTTACATTTGACATAGTGCCAGATACATCAGGAGGACATCTCAAAGCTTTTCACCGGGGATTTACTGTAAAGCATAGTGACTATATATTTTGTAGGCCAATGCGGCAGACAATTTGCACACAGCAATGCACTACAAATATCCATGTTAATCAATTGGGGGTTTGGATTTTTTCTATTGTCAAACTACCTGTGGTATTCTGAGGAATAAATCTTGCCTGGTTCTAGACATAGACCTTTTTCTTTGCATTTCAGAAAGTGGAAACAATTCTTCAAGTCCATTTTCAATGACAAAAATGACCGATTTCAGGTTGTAAAGTCGCCACGTACATCACTGCCTTTGTGTGACACATAGAGAGCAGCACGCAGCAAGTAACATCTGTGGCAACCTTATGACTTGTATTACAAAATGATCAAGAAAAGGAGAGGCAACAATGTTTAACAATGGGAATTGATTGATTTTCCCTCTACCTGGAGAAAGTACTAATGTTTACTGATTAAAACTGCAAACCGATAAGTGTACTGTTATCAAATAACTATTCCACCAAACTGCTCACAAGCTGCATTGTGTCCTACCTCCACGATCCCGTACTGCCAGATTGTGTCCACTCTTTAGCAGAATTTTCAGCTGGTAGATCACTGTGCTTGTGGAAGTGAGATTGGTATTACTTGTTCCAAGCATGTTATTCCCCTGCACACATAAAATGAAGAACATATCAATGGAAATAAAGCAATATAACAACAATAAAATTACATTTGTATAGCGCCCTTCACATCCCAAGGCAATGGACACTCAGTAATTCAGACCCGAGCTGGAGGTAGGGATTGGGGAGGGTGGAGGGCGGGGGGGGGGGGGGGGGGAAGGAGGGTGATCAAAGGCACAGTCGAAGAAGAGGGCCTTAAGATGGGTCTTGATGGAGACAAAGGTGGGGATGAGGCAGAGGGACTGCAAGATGGAGTTCCCTAGAGTGGGGAAGAGTAGCTGAAGGTTCACCCAGCAATGGTGTGGTGGGTGAGGCGGAAGGCAGGAAGCAGGCTGGAGCCCGTTGAGCGGAGCGAGCGGGCAGGTTGGTAGGGGGTTAGAAGGTCACAGGGATAGGGGGGAATGAGGCCATGGAGGGCTTTGAAGGTTGAGGACCAGGATCTTGAACTGTATCCTCTGTGTGATGGAAAGCCAGCAAAACAGTCATAAAATGTATTAGTGATGATATGACCATGAACACTAGTATAAGAAATATTGTACAATATTTATTTCCTCTTCATATTCCCTGCACTATACACCAACCTCAGGCATTAGTTCATCAGACAGAGAAGAGCAACAAGAATAATTCTAGCATTGAAGACCCAAAGGTCTGAAGAGAGACTAGGAGAACTGAAATTATTTTCAATGGAGACAGGAGGATTGATAGAGAACATGATCCAGGACTTTAAAATATTGAGGGCATATACTATACTAATGTATTAATGTAATTAATAACAGCTTGTCTTTATATAACATCTTTTATGTGAAAACAAATAAATAATCCTTGCATTTTGGTATAGTGCCTTTCACATCAGGAGGTCGTCTCAAAGCTTTTCACAGGATACACTGTAGTGGATTGACTGTATTTTGTGGTTGGACACAACAGCCAATTTGCACAAAACAATGTCCCACAAACAGCCATGAAGTGAATGATCAATTTTATCTGGGGGATTGTTGACCAGGATACCAGGAGAAACACCCTTCTCTTTTCGAATAGTGCTATGGGATCTTTAAGGTCCACCTGAACAGGGAAACAGCACTTCGATTTGTGTTTCTTTTGAAGACCATGAGCTCAAAGTTCAAAGTCCTAACGTGGGGCTTGAACTTCTCACAAGTAGCCATGAGACAAACGACTAATTTTCTCTTGAGGATTGTTGCGTGAGACACTAGGAGGTACTCCTTTCCCTTTTGAGATAGTGTCATGAAGCATGTTTAGCATGTTGGTTAGAGCACTCGCCTCACAAGCAAGAGGACCAGGGTTCGATTCCCAGGCAGGGCAAAACCTTAGGCAAATTTCCGTACTTCACACGCCTGTTTAGTCAGAACCCAGTTGTTAGTTGATTGGCAGATCGCTTTCCGGGGGTAATAGTCCGTCCAAAAAATATTGGTCACTTAATCCACGACTGTTTATGGGATACTGCTGTGCGCAATTGGCTGCCACATTTCGCCCACAAAATATACAGTCAATTCACTTTATATTCTGTGAAGCACTTCAAGACATCTCAACGACATGATAAGGCACTATATCAAATGCAAGGATTATTATTATTAATAATAATCTTCTTAAGGAAGGCACATTTGACAGTTAATAAGGGATTTGAGTGTACTGAACATGTACAAATGTAACATTCCCTTTTATAGATGTCTACAAATCTAGCTCAGGTGTTCCAGGTTTTATTGGACTTATTAAGCAGCCACTGTGATCAATTACTTGTGTATCACTGGTTCTTCAGTTCATTGACTATTAAAGAGCATAGTTAAAGAAACTATTAAAGAGCAATGGTATCTATAATTTATAAGGTATTGCTTTTCAAAATGGAAGCTAGGTGCCATGGGACGATTTGTGAGGGCTCTTTTCTTAACCAAACTACCTTTATTTGGCAGATAACAACAACAGTTTGCATTGATATAGCTCCCTTCACACAGGCTGTGTCTCGGAGTGTTGAATAGGCAAGTCTGACACCAAGCTGGGGAGAACAGACAGGTGACCCAAGGCAAAGTCGATGTTGTTGTGCCACACTTTTTCATTACGTTTGTTAAAAGCAGGCTTGGATTGTGTCATCTCTTGCAGACTTCTAGAGGGGAAGTGAAACCCACGGTACAATTACACTGGTCAGTCTTCACAAGATATTCATTCTTGAATACAAAGATTTTTCTCGATTCCAAGTGTTGCATTATATTTGCATCCCTATGTAGCAAAATAGGATACCAGGCCGCAAGTGTTACAGTAGCACCAGGTGTACAGGGATATAAGGAGCTTGTTGGGATCCAACAAACCCAAACATGTGTTACAAGCGAGGTCGCTCACCACCCAACACCAGTTAGTTCTTCCAGGTTTGTGATGCCACTGGGGCACTGTGTATGCACATAGAAAACCACCAGTAGCTTTTGCGCCATGGACTTCTCAACTTACACACTTGTGTTATCGATTGCAAGGTTCATGCCATCAACTCTCCAGAATAGATAATGGCATTTTACCAGCTTTGCCAAACCAGAATGCTCAGATCTTCCTGTCAGTGTAACGTTCGTCAAAATTATCATCTAAATTCCACTGTAAATTTCACAACATTTTATACATTCTCCACTAGCACAATGGAAATTGTAATCTGAACTATTGGGATTGCATATTTTACATATCTATTGCAATATATTTTCACAAATAATGATATGTTTGAGGTGATAATTCTTTCAAATGTGAAGAAGGTGATGACGGCATTATTTCTCAGTCAATAAGAGCCTGGAATATTAAGTACAGTTTTTGACTTTGTATATTTATATATACAACAATAAAATTACATTTGTGTAGTACCTTTCACATTGGGAGAATGGCCCAAGCCGCTGGACAGGCAGTGTTTCGGATCTGAGCTGGGGGTGGATTGGGGCGTTCGGAGGGCAGGGGTGAAAGAAGGGTGATCAGAAGCATGGTCAGAGGGTCTTCAGATGGGCCTTGAAGGTGGCAAAGGAGGGGGCAAGGTGGAGGGACTGTGGCATGGAGTTCCAGAGGGTGGGGGCAGAGTGGCAGAAGGCCTGCCCACCAATGGTGGGGTGTGCAAGGTGGGGGACGTGAAGCAGCTGGGAGCCTGCTGAGCGGAGGGAGTGGGCAGGATGGTAGGGGATTAGGAGGTCACAGAGGTAGGGGGAGCAAAGCCATGGAGGGCTTTGAAGGTGAGGACCAGGATCTTGAACTGTATCCTCTGTGTGATGGGAAGCCAGTGGAGTTGGGCAAGGATGGGGGTGATAGGGTCATGGAGCCTGGTGGGGGAGAGGACACAGGCTGCAGAGTTCTGGATGATCTGCAGCCTATGCAGCCCAAAGAGTTTGCATAGTCAAGCCTCGATGTTATGAATGCGTGTATGAGGGTTTTGGCAGCCTGCGTGTGAGAAAATAGCAGAGCCGGGTGATGTTGCGGAGGTTGGGGAAGGCAGAGCGGGTAATGGCACGGATATAGGATAGAAAGGATAGTTGAGGGTCAAACAAGACGCCAAGGTTCTAGACTGGCTTAGTGAGGTGGAGTGTGCATCTCTGGATAGTGATGCTGTCAGTGCCGTTCCTCTGGCTCCGGTCTGCTCCACATCCCCCACCCTAAACGCCCTACCATCGGTGGTCGGGCCTTCAGCCTCTCAGCCCCAAGGCTCTGGAACTCTATCCCCCAGTGCCTTCGCCGCCTCCTCCCTTTCCTCCTTCAAGGCCGGTCTCAAGACCTTTCTCTTTGACCGTGCCTTCAGCTCCCCTCTCGACTCTCTACCCCCTCCTCGCTCCCTCCCTTCCCTCCCCTCACCCTGACCATTTCCCCCCTGCTCGGGTCCTGACCCAACTGTCCAGTGCCTTGGGACGTCCTCCCGACGTGAAAGGCGCTCTATATATGGAATCTTGTTGTTGTTGTTGTTCTCATCCAGGACTTGATGTCCAACAGACATTCTGTCAGGAAAGCAGTGGTCCTGGAGTCAAGAGTGGAGGCAGAGAGATAGAGTTGGGTGTCATCCACATATATGTGGAAGTTGACCCCATATCTGCGGGTGATGTCACCAAGAGGGAGCACATAGATATTAAAGAGGAGGGGACCAGTATAGTTTGCATAGTAACTACTTTTTTTAGGCAAATAGAGCAGCCAGTTTGCAAGCTCCCATAAACAGCCCTAAGGTAAATTTATGTTGATAATTGTTGCCAGGACAACAGAAAGAACTCATTTTAATTTTCAATTGGGTTCATGGGATCTGAACAGAGAGAGAGAGAGAGCGAGAACTGCATTTTTTACAGCTCATCTGGTAGACAGCATTTCTGACAATGCAGGACTACCCCAGAACTGTACAGAGGTTTTAGCCTAGAAAAATTTTCAGAAGTATGGGGAAAAGGCAGTTAAGTAAATGCAGGGTCTTAATGGATTGCTCTTGCAAAGAGCCAGCACAGCTACAATGGACCAAATGTTTTTCTTCCCTGCTGTAAAGTTCTATGATTTGTTTACGGCATCATGCTCCGCCACTGTCAAGCGTGCTGGTATGCTACCCCGGTGTTATATAAATACAAGTTGTTGTTGTTGTGGTACCCTAGACTAAGAGCTCAAGATCTGATGTGGAGTCTTAAATGGTATCCTATTTAAGAATACTACCAGGTTCTTCAAATAATTAATTAATAAATGTAAACTATAAATACTATCAACAACAACAACAAAATTACATTTATAGAGCGCCTTTCACGTCGGGAGAACGTCCCAAAGCGCTGAACAGTCAGGTGTCGGGGAACAATAACAGGGAATCGAGCGGATTAGAAGTGGGAGGATCTGTGAAGTGTGGGGAGTATAAACACTGGCATGGAAGAATTGGGCTGAATAGCCTTTTTATGTATCATTCTATGTAATTCTGTATAATTCTATGTGACTGACCAATTAATAACTCTGATATTATAATAATGAATCCGAAGTCAATACTAAATCCCAAATCAAAGTCTAATTC